GTCAGCGCGGGGCGGTGGGGCGCGGGCGCTGCCATTGGCCCGCCTGTCATGTGGTCGCGCGGAGGCATCCGCAATTACACGGGAATGTTTTCCTAGAGATGTCAGCCTACAAAGGACACAATCTCTCTTCCTCAAATTCCGCCCCAAAATGTCCTTTCCCAACAGCTCTCCTGCCGCTAATACTTTTTTAGTAGATTCTCTCATCAGTGCGTGCAGGAGTGACAGTTTCTACTCCAACAGCGCCAGCATGTATATGCCACCTAGCACAGACATTGGGACGTATGGGATGCAAACCTGTGGACTCCTTCCGTCTCTGGCTAAAAGAGAAGTTAATCACCAAAATATGGGTATGAATGTACATCCTTATATACCTCAAGTAGACACTTGGACAGACCCGAACAGATCTTGTCGAATAGAGCAACCTGTTACACAGCAGGTCCCCACTTGTTCCTTCACTACAAATATTAAAGAAGAAAGCAATTGCTGCATGTATTCCGATAAGAGATCCAAACTCATTTCTGCAGACGTCCCTTCCTACCAGAGGCTGGTGTCTGAATCATGCCCCATTGAGAATCCCGAGGTTCCCGTCCCAGGATATTTTAGACTGAGCCAGACCTACGCCACTGGGAAAACCCAAGAGTACAATAATAGCCCTGAAACGAGTTCAACTGTAATGTTACAGTTAAACCCTCGCGGCAGCTCCAAACCGCAGATATCTGCTCAACTTCAGCTGGAAAAGAAAATGAATGAAAACCCGAACAACCAAGACAGCACCGCTAAAGTCTCTCAAGTGGAAAGTCCCGAGCCCAAGTCCACGTTGCAAGAGGAGCGGAGCTGCCTGCCCGAAGGCTCCGTGTCCAGCCCAGAAGTCCAGGAGAAGGAGAGTAAAGGTCTGTATTACCGAGTTTAAGCCGTGCCGTGGTGTAACTCCAACACGCCAGCACCATAAAGCACGCTCGAATATACTAACGAGCATCACAGCCATCACATTTAATGCTAAGGAGTATCGGGCTGCAGGTGCTGTCTCTCTGAAGATTTTGGCAGGCAAAAATGCTACACAAAAGGGTCCAAAGATTTTCCGTAGAGATCTGCCTCTCCCGTGCACGCAGACCGCCTCTGTGATGCGGGGAATATAGCCGTGTGCTCCCTAATGCGCTGCAGCAGCCAAAAGCAGCCCCATACCTCTAAAAAAGCAGGTCTGGAGGTTGTAAAATACGACCAGCTCAACTTTTCTCTTGTAATATTTCGCCCTTCTTTTTGTTTTGGTTTTTTTTTGCTTGTTTGTTTCACTGAGCCTTGCTGCGGTTTGATTGCATTTAAAGTTAATTACGATGCTTTTAAGATAGGTGAGGAATAGGTGTTACCAGGCTTGGTAAAGTTGGAAACAAATGCACAATGAAAACAGCAACCCGCTATCTGCCTGGTCCAAAGGCTGAATATTTCAATGTGGTGCTTTAGATAACCTTGGGTTGGTCTTCAAAAGTGCACCAGTATTTTGAAATGCTTTTGAAAGGTGGTGGTAATATGATTTTATTTTCTCTTTTAAAGTGCACTAAAGCCTTTCTTTCGAACGGCAAAGAATCACAAAACGGGAAATTTTCTCCTGTCAAAAATGTACTTTGCAACCTCTAGGTCGATTTTTACTCTCTGTGTGCATTGAGAATCACTTTATATTAATTATATTTAGTAGCCCAGATCTAGGTTTATGTGGGCAGATTTCTTTCTGGTGGGGAAAAAAATCTATAAGGAAAACTGAAAAAAAATCCGAGACAGAGGGTGGTAATTTCTTGTATATCATTTTGGCTGGGAAAATGTCTGTATTTGTCCATAGGTGTGCTTGTGTGATTCAGCTAATGTCTGGGGGGGATGCTGCTTCAAAATACTGTACTTGACTATTTTGTAATTGGAATATTTTCGTGGCAAGTGTCGTGGGAGCCCGGGGCGGCCATGACGAGGCTAGATCCGTTAAAATGTGGCCATGGCGAGGCTAAGCCCGTTAAGATGTGTCCATGGGGCGGATGGCAGGTTAAACATTGTTGAAATGCTAAACGCCGGCCGAAAACTTGAGAGACCCTTACTGGCAGGGGCAGGAGAGCGGGGCGGCCGCAGGGCAGGGTGCTGTGCGTGGGGACGGGCGAGCCTAGCCCGCAGCAGGTCCCCTCCCTGTGCCCACACCTCACCCGAGCAGTGTTTAATGCCCACATCCACCATATCTGCCAGACACTGCAGAGGAGGGGTCATGGCCAAGGGTATACTCTAACAGTCTGAGGTATTTTTGATTTTTTTTTTCTTCTTCTTCTTTGATTTTGATAGAGGAAATCAAGTCTGATACTCCAACAAGCAATTGGCTAACTGCAAAGAGTGGCAGAAAGAAGAGGTGTCCTTATACTAAACACCAAACACTGGAATTAGAGAAAGAGTTCTTATTCAATATGTATCTCACTCGAGAGCGCCGTCTAGAGATCAGTAAGAGCGTAAACCTCACTGACAGGCAGGTCAAGATTTGGTTTCAAAACCGCAGAATGAAGCTCAAGAAGATGAGCAGGGAGAACCGAATCCGGGAACTGACCGCTAATCTGACCTTCTCTTAAACCCTAACCCCGGGGGGGCACCAGTGAGGAATGGGCACAGCACCGCCACTTGCTAAAGGCAGGAGAGACTCTGGCAAAACCCGGCATTTTCCAGTTTTGTTTTGTTTTGTTTTTGTTTTCTGATAGAATGTGACTCTTCGTCCTTCTTTTAGCGCTGCAAGTGAATATGTATTACTATGATGAGTATATATAAAACCTAGCACGTGTAATTTATTTTTGTTCTCATCGTAATGCAGGGTAACTATTATTGAATATTATCATTTGGTCTTAACTTATTGGAACTGTCGAACATCCAAGCAATGTGACTTTTTCATGTTTTTACTAACAAAATGGTATTTATGTGGGGCTGTTACACGGGCCATAACATTTTGAATACATTCAATACTTTCAGAAAAAGAGTGAGGGGAAACTGGGGGCGGGGGGAAAGAGAAGCACATTATAATGTAACTATCCTCGCAAATGAACTTAGAGATTGTCCTTCGTAAAATGGAATATTTCCTTCTTCTCCATTGTAGACATTTCATTGTGGTGAATATGTGGAATAGTAGTTCAGCAGCAAATTGTCCTTCTTGTGCATGTTCTGTTCGCATGTATAATGCAATAAACTCTGTAAACTACTGCGGTTCCTTTGGTTTTCTACAAATGTTCAAAACATGGATGCAGGTTGGTCTACTGATCTTTCTCTGTCAGCAGCTTTTTGGACTGATGTACCTTCTTTATCATATTCTGGTCTTTGTGTGTGTCTGCCTGGTTCTTTCTTTCCTTTCCTCCATTTTCCCCCTTCCCCTCCTTTTTTGGGTGTTTTTTTTTTTTTTTTTTTTTTTTGGTTTGGTTTGCTTTTTTTAGGGGTGGGGTGGAGACTGGGCCGGGAAATGATGTAAACCTAATTCATTTATATTTGTGTCTGTAAATAATGATTAATTGATAAAATGTTGTGTGATGTTCGCAGTCTGAGAAACTGAATGCAAAAAAAAAAAAAAAAAAAAAGAGAGAAAGAAAGGAGAAAAAAACTTGTAAAATATTATGACCTAGACTGGACATCCTCATCCAATCAACTCGTAAATGGTAAGTGATAAAAAAATCTTTCCACTACAAGCTGTCAGGAATATGTGTGTCATTTTATTTGACGTTCGTATGTTGATTCAAAAAATATCAGTCACTGCGTGCTTACAAAATATTGACTGATTTCCTGTCTTTGCTGACTACAAAAAAAACCCCAAAGCATAACAAATGCAAAGCTAGGTATAAGTAAAATGTTAAGGAGCTCATTTTTTTGTCTGCTCAATAGCTTTCAGAAGACGGTGGATGGAAAAATATTCCCAACATCTGGTGAGGTTGGCTTTTTTGAGCAGAAACGGTCCCAAGCATGCTTACAAAAGTACACCAACCTCTTCAGACCTACTTTTGTCACCCTGCACCGTTTCTGTTTGATCAGAGATCGTTTTATTTTGCGCAATTCCATTTTAGTAGCACACATCCAGCTAATGACGTTCACGACTCTTAACCCTTTCTGTACATAGCTGAAAAATATTATTAGCAGGGTTCTGCGCTGAAAGCTGAGGAAGGGCGCGTGTGTGTGAGAGAGCGGGTGAGTGTCCGTGTGAGCAGAAATACTAAGCAGAACTGCAAATGGCTTGCAAATGAACATGACTCCAAATTGAAGTGCAAATACTTGGGCATACTTTCACCTTCAAACAGTACTGGGAAAATAGCGTGGCTACCGTTTGCGCTGGGAAACCAGCTTGCTAACAATCAACGCCCATTCCTCCTCTAAGCTGTTTCTGAATCAAGAAATTAAACGCAAGATAGTGCCAATCTTGTCCGACTTGGTGACAGATACTGCTCATACTGTTGCTGATGGAATTCTGTTTGCCCTCTTGTCTTTGATATTTTGTTTAAGCCAATACTTCCTCATGAGCACATTTACTCGCAAGCAGAGGCATATATTCCTCAAACCAAGGCATCGTCATTTTGAAGCTGCGAGAGACGCGAGCACCTAGGTATTTTGCGCTTGTTCTGGTTTCGAAAACAAAGAGCAAAACGATGCTCAAAGAATCTCTCTTTAAATATTGCATACATTTGAATGGCTTTTTCTCTTCCTTTAAAGATACTCGCTACATCACCAAAGAAGTTTCGGCAGTGGGAAGTAAATAGCTGGCTGCATACCAAGCGTTTAACGTACATAAAAAAGAAGGTTCACTCTAATCTGCCTGCTTTATCAGCTTATATCAGTGTGAAGCGAGGGGCAATTCTTCGCCATACTACAAACCCTGCTTCAGAACAATGTAAGAGGAGTTATGAAATCGCAGAAGAAAATGCTAAAGTCAGATGGCAAAAAATAGTGGAAAAAAAAAGAAAGGAAAAGGAAAGAAAAGGGGGGAGGAAGAGAAGAAAAAAAGGAAGAAAACAATCTAAGAGAGTAATAAATCATTAAATAAACAGGAATTTCAGTCCCTTCCTCATAATGGCCCGCGAGTAGGAAGTGTTTTCCCAGCTCTGCTGTCCGTGCCCCCGGCGGGCTGTGCTGCGGGCTCGCCACTAACTCTCTGCGTTTCCTCCAGATCCCGACACAACCACCATCCCTCGCCCGGGAGAGCAAGCGTGGGCAGAAGACCATGGGTAATCCAATTTTCAATACTAACCGGGCAGCTTTCCTCTCGGGGCAGGATAAC